TGATAAAAAACAAGGTCAACAATAACTCATGGTCGAAGTCACCTCTTCTCTTGTCATCTTGAAGCTCTCTCCAACATTCATCAAAGTTGAGGGAGGTCATCAAACATTCATCCAAGCCCAACATCGACAATTCCCTCTTTATTCATCAAAGTCTTGTTCAAGTTCCATATTGCATTCCTCAAAGTCAAGTATTGGAGTTCCCTTTTGTTCATAGAAGTTGAACATGCATCCACTAAAGCAGAAGCCGCAAGCTTTTTTGACACAACCTGACAGGAGCGGACTTGTTCGTTGAAGCTAATCCAAATACCTTATGTTGAAGCCGAAGCCGAAGCCGAAGCCGAAGCCGAACCCTGTGATGTTTGTGCTAATGTTACCATTCATCAATGCTTAGTGAAGTCAAAGCCAACCTCGTTCTTTAAATGATAATTTATATTTTTTTGTTATTTTTAATGAGTGAATAGTTATAAATCAATACTAAAAACATAATTTAGTTAGATTTTAACTTAATCAAATGAAAAAAAAAAATATAATTGTAAGAGGTTTTAAATTTTAGTAAATAAGTTGGCAGAACTCTTTTAAAACATATAATATATTTAATTTTAAAATAACTACTTATGTAATCATGATCCTTCAAAATACAAGTTAAATTTTCTTCTTGCATATTTTATTTTGTAATGTCTCTAGTAGAGAATATTGAAAAAATATATATATTTTTATATTAATAACTTATTAAGTTAAAAAATTTGTCCATAACATGTTGTGTCCTATTTTTTTCAATTATGTTGCGATGTCGTATCATGTCATGCTGTATCGTGTCATTGTGTCCATCTCCATGTTAAAAAGAGTGTTGAAGACATCAAAGAGAAATTTGGGGGCAATCGCAAGGGCATATTGACAATAGTTAACCATCTTTTGCCTAATTTTGAACTATAATAAATGGCTTGTCTAAGATCACAACTAGCACATAGTTTTGATTGAAAAACATCACATGTAAGTTTTTTCCCAAGAGACATAAAGAATGATAGGTCCAGAACGTTTAATTGAGAGAATAAGAGATAGTATTGTGTTAAATTTATTTTATGATAAAGTGAATAAAAGAAATTACATAATAGAAAAAAAATAAAGAGGAACTGAGGAAAATAAATTACATAGAAGAAGCAAGCAAAAAATTATCGTAAATTAAAAAAAAAATTATTTTGAATAAAAAATCAAAATTTATAATAATTCAATGTACAAACATACATCTACTACCAAGAGCAGAGAAAATGCCTATCACATCAAAAAATAAATTACAATCGAGAGACCATACAATTCATAGAAAGATTTCCCGTAAGCATGTAGAATGAAAAAAAGAAGAGAGAGATTACATACAAGAGAAAAAAAATAAAAACTTCAACAATTACATTAGATGGGAGAAATAAAAATGTAAGGGCAACACTAAGAGTATAGGTTTGGGCGGCTGCAACTTTTTTTAAATGTGATTATAAAGTAGTGGTGATGAAAATACATTTTAGAAAGCTACAATTGAAATTATAATTTTTTTATTTTTTTTGAAAAAATCTGACAATAGCTTCTTTCTAGCCACCACACTTTAAGAGATTTGATTGCAAAAAAAGTAATTTCTCAATACAAAAATTTCTAAAAAATAGTATAAAAGTAATTCTCCAAACAAAATTGTGATAGTGGTTTGAAGCCTAACACAAGAAAAAAACTGTCCCAAACAAATCCTAAGTCTTCCAAAAGAAATGTGATGGAGAATATCGTTATAGGCTTACCAACCTAGGAGGACATAATGCATGCTCACAAAGAAGGGGAGAAACATCAAATGACACCATAAGACAACAACTGCTTAGGTATTTGGAAATTTTTCTCATGAGATGATAGGCTATAATCAAACATGTTTGAATGACCAAATGTTGTGGCTTTTATAGGCGAATTAAATGCTTTGATTCATAATTTTGATAATGGCGTCTAACCGATGCCAACACCTCAACAATGCAAGGGGTGAGGCAATGTCATTTACATATATGACAAAGCACAAACATAGAATTTTAGATTGGTGGAAATGATAACTTATTGTAATATAATTGGTTAGTAATCATGGGCTCACTAATAAAAATAGGCAAAGGTGTGTTGCATTGAATGTCTTTCACAGTTAGCTAAATATGCCCAATATAAAAGAATATTACCACAAATGCCTACTAGGACTTGAGTGAGGCAGGCTAAGAAAGACCGGGGATTCCAAAAAGTACTTTGGGTAAGGAAAAAAAAAATGCTAAGCAATGGAGATTGACGAATCACGTAAAAATGCTTCCAAAGAAAAATTCCAAAGACGGCAACCCGAGAAAGACCTCCAAGAAGAGCTGCTATGACAAGTCTCTTGAACAGTGTTCACGCTAACACACACTCTATGACAAGTCTCTTGAACAGTGTTCACGCTAACACACACTCTATGACAAGTCTCTTGAACAGTGTTCACGCTAACACACACTCATGCAAGTGATTGTTCATCTCATGTTATTACTACCACAGACACATGGCCAATAGAGATAAAGAACCCTTTCGCTTTACCAAAAAACATGAAGCACTTAAAGCAAAACCTCTTCAACTAGCCACGAGTCAAGAAAAACTTTGAGCAGTGCGAACGAGGATACTACTGCAGTGACAGCTGCGATGCTCCCAGTACAAAAACCAAATGTCAAGTTGATTAGGTCGCAATAAAAGCAGGATATGACGGAGGCCCAAAAATAGCATGAGGAAGAAACCATACCATTTGATGGATTCATTTATATAGAGAACATCAACACAGCATGACAACCCAATACAAATCCGACCAAAAACAATTTGAATTCGGGTCAGATTTGGGTAAAAATTCTGAACTTTTAATTTTCAGGTCGATTTAAAGTTGAACCACCAAGCTGTATAAATTTTTTATATCTAAATTCATCACTATGAGTTCACATTTATCATTTAATAAGATAATTTCATCAAACATTTATTTAACCTACATGAGTATTAGTATTATTATTTTTATTTATATTGTTATAAATATAATAAACAGGTCATTCGAGCTGGGTTCATGTTAGTTGTGTTATAGATGAGTCAAGTTCAGGTTAGGCTTTCCAACCCATTTAATAAACAGGTCAGGTTCGAGTCATGTTAATTCAGTTGGGGTCAAATTTGGGTCTAATCACCCCAAGTTCCAATAGTACAACAATATGAATACAAAAAAAAGGTATAACTTATGCCATGAAGAACTCAGGAGAGAAAATTGGAGAAGTTTGAGAAATTAGAGTTTGTCATTAAATGAGTTTGAATAGATTGCAGAGATAGATCCTGAATGATGTTCCAGTGAGAGATTTGGCAATAAAAAGTCTTCGTTTTAGTTTTGTCAATTAGTTAAATTTGTGGTAAAATGGAGATTTGAATAAGTTCATTCAATTTTTCTTTCAAGACGTTCTAATAATCCTGAATAAATTTATTACTCTCTTGTGAAAAAAAAAGTTTGAAATAAAGAGTGTGTGCCTGAGAGATTTTCCTGAAAATGTATAGAACATAAAAATTACAAATTGATTTGGCAATCCCTTGAAACATGACGATGAAAGGCTATTTAGCATCCATCTGAGGATATTACAATCAAAAGTGGATTTGATGTATTTGAAAATGCCTGTCAATTTGAGAGGCAAGGAGTCGAAATGATTGAGTATCTTGGAAGATCCCATGATGAAGTGAAAAGCCCTAAACCTCATAAGGTAGTTGGTACCATTGAGTTCAATAGATGAATCCATTATGAACGTACCTTCATCTGAAACAGTCAATAAAGAAGGCCACATATAAACACCATCTAGAATATAGAAAAGCAAGTAGACTAGTTCAAGTAATCATAGATTTATCAGAAAATGTCAATCCATAAAAATAACTACGGGGGAGAGACAAGCATAGGCGCACCTAAAATTTTAGGCAAAAGCGCAGCAAGAGAAGCAGTTTTGGGTGGTGTGGACAAGCACGATAGAGTGGATGCTACTGCAAGGGATCATGTAGATGCCGGAGTTGGCGAGAAAGTGAAGCAAGCAAAGCACTGTTTTGAAAAGGAAAGGGTTTCAAAGAAGTGACGTAGGGCTATTCACTAGCGCAACTTATTATAATAAAGAAATGTATGCAATATCCTGGGAATTAACTACATAACCGTAAACCACTCACTAAATATAATTACTTCCCGGGATATTTCCTAATACTAATAATCTTCTTGGTTGGTATAAAATTACCCTAGTCATAATAGGTTTGAGGTTGAGGGATTAAGTAGGGCCTAACTAGAACTTCTTGGATACTATCACTCCACCCAAAATTTTTTTATACCATTTAATCATAAAAATAATGAGTAAATGGAGCTTGTTTACGTAGAACAAATTGTACAACCTTCAAAATGGCTCCTTCAGTAAAGCCAAATTAAGTTGCAATTCCTAAAGGAAAAAAAAAAAATTCTTTATTGATTATCATATGAAGGGAACTAAGAAAGCCTCATGAAAAAGATTCTAAGGTGCCGTGACCTTAAACATCAAGAGGAGACCCATCTCAGCAGCAAACACAATAACAGCATAATAAGATATCAATAAATATTTTGCATCCAATAATCCATGCAAAAGGAACTCACCAGCCCTACTCGCTTCCACAGCTGAATTCTAACTCCATGTTGTAAGTTCTTAATAGTGAAGTCTATGTTTCCTTATAAGGTGAACAGAAAACAATAGAATACTGCAAAAGATACTAATAATATACCAGATCATAACTTTTTTTAAGAAAACAAGTCAACATTTCCAGAAAGAATGTTCCACACAAATTGTATCTTCTTTAAAAATAATTCCAAAACAAAACAAATAAATAGTGGTTATCCTAAATGCAACTTCAACAGAGCCAGCCATCACCATATGTACCAGAAAGAAATAATTAATCAGCATATCAATATTGACATTGAAACTTAGGATTAAAAAAACGAAGCATACCAGATGAAGTGACTGCTTATGGATACGCTGTAATGCATGCGTCCAACGTCTAATAACCTCAGCCACATCAACGATTTGATGAACTCTTACACCCCTATCATCAGTCTTAGATAAGATATCAGTCTTTGCGGGAATTTGAGAATAACCGACTTTTTCACAAGCATCAGTGGATGAAGACAGTTCACTAGCATGAGCAGAGAGCAAATCTGGATACGAAACATAAGAACCTGATTCCATGGCTGCAAGTAAAGATGACCCCGAGATGCGATACCTAAAAATAAAAATGCCATTCAAATGAAACGGTGAAAGCACACAAGTTACTTCCAGAAAATGCTAAAGCCTACCTATGCTCACGATGTGCTATTAGATCCTCAATAGGACCTGAAGCAAGCACCTCGTGTTGACCTGAAAACAAAATATATGAGCATGATAGGAAAATTATGGATAATAAGAAAAATAAAATGAATAACCTTTCTTTGGGGGAATTACTATTTTTACGAGTTAATACTATCTGAACTAAATGTAAAAAAAGTGAATCAGGAATATTTCAGAACGAATTTAAAATTGATATCATCAGATGGTGTAGATACTTATACCTATGTATCTATTGACTAAGGCCCCGTTTGGGGCAGCGGTAGGGCTTCGGCGCGGCTTGAAAACGCCAATCGGGGGGCGTTTGGATACTTTGGCGTGTGGCTTTTTACAAAAATCCAAAGTAAATACGGCCGCGGGCTCAACCCCATGGCCCAAGCTCCCTCGTATATTTAACGGGGCTGCCCCTCTCCTCACTATGATTCGTTCTTTCGCGTGACTAGCCCTAGCGGAACGCTCCTCTCCCGTGATCCTCTCTCTCGCGATACTTGCCCTAAACTCTCCTCTCCCTATTTCTCTCTCAATTCTCCTATATAGGGTTGCCTCTCTCAGTGAGTTCTCTTCTCCATCATCTTTATCTACTTTGTAGCTCTTTGAGAGTACGGCGGTTTCCTCTTCGTGTGGTGGTTTGTGAATGCGATGGTTCCTCTATGGTAATTCATTTGTGCTATGGTTTCTCAGTGTGGTGCTTCCTCTGTTGGTTCCTCTTTGTTGTCGTGTCACTTCTTGTCGGGTAATCCTTACCTTAACTATGCTATTGTTTTTGTTTTTGGAAATGCATATATGGCCAAGATTTTTTTGGTTTCCTCTTTGCAGTGGTTCCTTAGTGCAGTGCTTCTTCGTGTTGAGTAATTTGTACCATAACTTTTCTATGGTTTTTTATTTTGCAAAAGGTTTTATGCCCGACAATTTGGCGGTTTCCTCTGTGCGATGGTTCTAGGGCTGTCAAAATAGCTCGTTGTTCGTGAAATGCTCATGTTCGGCTCGTTCATGAAGTAAACGAGTCGAACACGAACAAATTTTTAAAGCTCGAATTATAAACAAACCGAACATGAACATCTTTTTGTTCGCTCGTGTTCGACTCATTTTAAAAAAAAATTATATAATTTTTTATATAACAATATATTACATATATTATTTATATAATAAGATATTATATATATTTATATCTAAGTTTAAATCGTAACATCTAGTGTGGTAATGTGGTTAGTGCATTTTTTTGCATACATTTAGTCCATGTTCGAATCCAAAACTTTATATTTATTTTTTCCAATTTAATTTTAACGAGCCAATTTCGAGCCGAACACGAATATTTAAATTGAGCCGAACACGAACACACTGTTCACGAGCCGATTTCGAACACGAGCGATTTCGAACGAGTCGAACACCAGCCAAGCCTGAACTCGCTCAAGCTCGGCTCGTTTACAGCCCTCGGTGGTTCCCCTTCCTGTTGGTGCCCATTGTGCTCGAGAATTTTACGGTTTTTGATTTGGCAATTGCTTATGGTTAATTGGCATTAGGTTGATGTTAGATTTTGGGATTTTTTGGAATCCCACGTGCGATGAAATTATGGGCGTTGGTTTTAAGTTGATGTTAGATTTCAATTTTATGTTTGCTCTTTTACATTCTTGATTGGTGACACCAGTGCTGGTTTTGAATGCACATTCAATGTCTTGTAATCTCGGTTGATGGTGGATTATGTACATTTGGTTGGTGTTGGCATATAATGTTCTGGTTTTGAATGCACATTCAATGTCTTGTAATCTCGGTTGATGGTGGATTATGTACATTTGGTTGGTGTTGGCATATAATGTTTATGTGGTGGATGTAGAGGGTGGATGTGTTTGTGATTAAGGATGTGGATGTGGTGGTGAACGGTGATTGGTGTGTCGATGTGGAGGTGAAGGTGGATGGTGATGTTTGGATATGTTTGTGTGAGTGAGGTGAATGTGTTTGGAGGTGGTGATTGGGTATTCGTGTGGTTGTGAATGTGTTGGTGATGGTGGATGTGTTGGTGTGTGAGTGAGATGGTGGTGGGTATTTTCGGCGTGATTGTGGATGTGTTGGTGATGGTGGATGTGTTGGTGAGTGGAGTTGTAGGTGTTGTAGATGTGTTGTGTGTGTGGTGTTTTTAGTATTGTTGTATGTGTGGAGGTACTGGCAGTGGTTATGTGTGGGCGTTGTGGTGGTGTGGTGTGGTGTGGTGTGGTGTGGTATGAAGCGGTAATGGTGATGCTATTGTGGCATTCTTTTTTATCACTGAGTTGTGTTAAATAATCTTTATGGGAAATGTTCTTGTTAATTAGTTTTTTGCATGATAGTATATATAATGGTTAAAATCAAAGAAATTGGTTCATCTGCAAACTGAGATAAGTATACCAAAATGATATTTTGTGACCTATGTCTCAAGGAGGTTGATAAGAAAAATAGGCCAACAACATATTTCAACAAGGAGGGATGGCAAAATATCATCAAAAAATTTAAGAAAACTACAGGTAAAGAGTATGATTGGATGCAGTTGAAAAACAAATGGGATCAGCTGAAAAAGAATTGAAAAGTCTAAAAGGTATTGAAGCGAGGAATCACGAGCTTGGGTTGGGATATGATAAAGCGAACGATTGATGTTTCCAAGGACTGGTGGGCTGAGAGACTGACGGTGAGCATTCTACAAATGTCCACAGCTTTTGTTCCTTTTTTAAATATTTTTTCAAGTACATCAACATGTCAATTGAATTTGTAGGCGGTATCAGCCGCTAAAAAATTTAAATGCAGTAGCATCAATACAGAGCTGGAAGAGAAGTTAGATCGTATGTTTGGTGGTGTCGTGGCCACGGGCAATAATACACGTTCCCCCAGTGAGGCGGGGTTTGATGATACCCTGTAAATTTGGCAGCTGACCAAACAGGTGATTCTAACGAAGACCTCAGCCCAAACCGTAGTGAGGTCGAATCCACTAGCCGATCAAAGTGGCTCAAGGTTGAAAAAAAGAAAAAAAAAAGGGAATTGCATTCATTAGAAATCAGATATCATAGTTGATGGCTTCATGCACCAACGACCCTGGCCCACCACAATTAACATCTGTCAGCAGGTTATGCAAATTCTACAGGCAACTCTAGAAATTTACGAGAACATGTCGTTGTATTTTTCTTTATGAAGTTCATTGAAGAACCGACCTGGCAAGAGTTTTTCATGATGATGGTCGCTAACCTGAAGGTGGATTACCAACGTTGTTTTCATAGGAACAGTGATGCTTGAGGAATACTTTTTTTCACTAGCTACTTGTGAGACATTTCATATTTGTTATTTGTTTATTTATATTATACATACTGATTTGGACATTTTGCACATGATGCTTTGATTTTTCGTGCTACTTTGGAAATCTAACTTTATCTGAGAGTTTTTCATTATTCATTATGTTTTCGGTTTACTTCAGTAATCTTATTTTGATATTGGTTTTGTTCATAACGTTACATGATTGTAGCTAATTCGTTGATCTTATGTTATAGGCGGTTTTGTTCATAATCTTATGTATTAACTACTTCGACACTGAAATACATGGATGCTAATAAAGGAGTAGAAGGAGAGTCGTAGTTGCGGTGTGTTTGATGGACGAGTATTATAACTTGTACATAGAACACTCCCCTTGCATAACATCCCCCTATGTAGGTGACAAATGGGTTAGGGGTTGGGGAGTTGTTTGTGGGCCACCCAATGAGGTTTCACAATATGTTTCGCATGACATATGAGGTATTCACGGATCTATTGGAAGAATTCTAAAGAAATCATGGTTTCATGGCTCGAATAGAACGAGTTCATGAGAAATGTTAGCAATAACTCTCCACATATTATCGTAGAATGAATCAATGCAAGTAATTATGGAACGATTTCAACACTCTTCCAAGATAATTTACAGATATTTCTCAATAGGGTTGAATGCACTTGTCAATTTTTCATCACAAGTCATAAAACTAACATATCCTATATTTGAACGGACCCCACAGATTTCGCACGATGCGTGATATATTTCATATTTTCATGTGATTTCTCATATTTAGTACATTTAATTTTTATAAAAATATAATAATTACGGAACCTTTGTTATCTTTTTAGAATTGTATTAGAGCAATCGATCGAACACACGTGGATGCACGTGTTCCAAACGAGAGGAGCGCATTCATCGGGCATTGTGGGTCACTGACGCAGAATGTCATGGTGGGATGCGACTTCAACATGTGATTCACTTATTATGGTCGGCCGAATATTCAAATCTATAACATGGAATAAGAAATATAACTTCTCATATCCACCCACAGGTTCACTTGAGACTGAGTTGGTCCCCCTTTTTTAGTTCAACATTATTCATTCTATTCACACAAGGTAAATATTATTCGGTCGATGCTGGGTATCTGGGTGCTGCGAGAGTATCTAAAACTCTATCCTAATACGAGATACTACATACCTGACTTTGAGCAAGTCAGTAATGTCACACGTGGCAGGAAGAAAATGTTCAACAAAAGGCACCTCTCTTTATGCGGTGTCATTAAGGGGACTTTTGGTGTTTAAAAGAAGAAATGAGTTACACTTCGTGATATGTCAACTTACACGTTTCCCAAACAGGTGTAGGTTGTGATTGTCACGATAACTACATAATTATAATCGGCAGCATCCTTCCAGCAACAATATCGACTTTCACAGGGCGGACGACGATCATGCACATGTCCCTGTTGAGACATGAGTATCAGCTTGAATAGTATTTGTCACAGGCCGAAAATGATATTCCCGAGACTTACACTCAAGATGGGGAATGTGCAAGCAAGATTACAGAGTTGAGGTAACGAATTACAGATACAATAAGTGGGTGTGATTGGAGGAAATGTTACTTTTTTATTTATGATAATTGTTATGGTTGTTGAAGAAATTCACTGTTTATTGTACTAGCATTTTATACAGTTCGTGTATAATTTTGTTCATTATAAATTTGATATTTGCTGCGATTTTTTTTATGCAAATTGTATATGTTTATCTTCCTTTTTTGTATTTTCTTCTTTTTTATCTTTTTGTAGTTTTTGAAAGTCTATGATGAGACGTTTGACATAATTGGTACTTTTGGATGGTCTGTATGTCACTATTGATTGGTGTCACATGTGAAATCCTAATGAAGGCAACAACGTTCCTCTCTCTTTTCGGTGCTATGGTTTTTGAGATTCTTCTTAACGGCCTTTTTTGGTGATATGCATATGTGACGCCGACAAACTTAGTATTACGTGGGCTAAAGGCAACTAAAAACCAATTTTTTATAAGGTCTGTTACCTTTTTGTAGTGAAAGTTTGTTGTTTTACACGCCGAGTTCTCTAAGACCTCACAGCTGCATAATACTTTAAATAATTACTTCTGTTATTAAATTTTTACTAATGTTATGTCTAATAGTTTATGTTTTTAAGGCTTCAAGAGGGATGAGCTTAAGGATTTCAGGTACCTCTAGAAGATTGCACTATTATTACAGACCTCGGTGTTCCCTACTCACTTCACGTAAGCTACATACCTACGGGAAACGGTTTTACAGGTAGGCAGATGGACTGAAAGATTCCACCTTCGAGAGTGATCGGGCATGGCGAGTCTCCCTGAAGGACGGCTTATCTTGTGGCATACACCGTCTGCATTTTAAAAATAATATTATCATTTTATTTAATGTTATTTAGTAGTCATTTTCTTAATTTTTATAGTAATGCTACTCACTGTTTAGTGAGATGTCTTATCTTTATTTTGTAATGTTTTGCACTAAATATTTGCTCTCAAGTATGGAATGTACTACTATAAACAGTTCTGTTACAAAAAACATTACTATACAGGGGTAAAATGGTCATTTGTCCGGAAACAGATGTAGCACAACTGTTTTCAAATTGTAAAAAACAAATAAACTGTCAAATTATCGGCATCAGCTTCCTATAGCAGCTGCTGCGCAACAACTTATTATTAACCCAAACAAACCCTAAATAAGCATCTATGAAGATGAGAGATTTGAAATCAAACTAAACTTACTTTCATATGATAAGCACATAATTTACAAAGATGGAAACTTAAGCTATAATTTTCCAACAATTCTATTCTTCGAGCAAAATAACCACCGAATAGAGAGATGAGAATACAAATCAATCTCATGACCTTAGAGATCAAAATAATGTATTCCTAAACATAAAATGAAGTTTCAAATAACAGCTTTTAACACTAAAAGGATAATAGAAAATAAAGCAATTCAGTAAGTTGCAGCCCATCAGTTTGATGCATATGTGCAGGATAAGAAAATGCAAGGAAGCAGCACATCTGTGGCCATGCATGGTGCTGCAGGGTTGAAGCAAGTGGTGAAACCAGCTGATAAATATCAAAATCCAGGCAAACCGAAAGTACATCGTAAAAATTTTATCCCAGTGACACTGTTAGTAAAAATACTTGGAACACACTCATTCTCTCTTTCCACTAAAAAATGCAAAAGTAGTGAAGCACTTTGGCATAAACCTAACACTGTTTGATATGAGTATGTCCACAACGGAGATGCAAAAGAATGTAAACAATTATTTTTTTCTGAACTCAAACTTCGCTTTTGCTTCCTCATTTTCAAGTTATTCTTTTGCATTAGTTTAGGAACGGAACATTTCCAACTATAAAATGCCCACATAAAAAGTGAAGTGCATGACTAATAAGCTGAACCTGATGACATAAATGACTGATGCAGAGAGTTTTCAAAAGTAAATTTACCAATATCCATAAGTTAGAATTGCCTTTCCAGCAGACTAATTTGCATTTAAATATGCAAAAAAATGCATCCATATCAGCATGCATCTATGCTTCATAAGTAAGGTGCTTATAAGATAAGAACAATGCGATGCTAACTGATATATGAACCATGAAACAAAAACTACTTAAAATGCAAAGAACTTACTCTTTCGAGATAATAAGGACTCCCATAAGCGGGTTGCTTTCGAAACCAGATGGGCATTCTGACTAGAAGTGGAGATGTGATCATCCCATAATTCCCCATCTAACTTTGCTTTATTTCTCAAATCCTGCAGTTTTTCTAATTCTTGCTGCAAATATGCCTGAAAGAATGTTACTGAAATGATCAAGAACTTGGTACTTGCAGATGCTAGGAGCAAAACATAAAGAATATAGAATATGAAACACGCAAATGTTAATAATAAGAGGGAAAAAAAAAAGATAAAACTAATGTCATGTATGAAGGCATATACAATATCAATTTCATTAAATCATAAAAAAAAGGAATGTGGTAAAGGTATGTTGGAGTCATCAAAAACATATGTGGTGGATCCAAAATTAGCATTAGTAATTACGAAACAAACAAAACGCGTTCAATCATAGCAAGATATATAAAAGATTGATGATGCCTCTGCGTAGCCAATCCCAATTTTCTCACCATCAACGTGAATACTACATTCTCACAGCTCCCAAAATCGATAATAAAACTATAAACTTTGTCCTTCAGCATACACTTGGTGTGAAAACTATTGTGCCCCAGCCATGACTGATTCTTCTCCGGCTCCGTCTGTAGGTTCTCCGTATGACTAGAATCTCTCTCTCATCCCCCTGTAGGGTTGTAAGTGAGTCAAGCCAACTCGTCAGCCGACTCGAGCTAGGCTCGATAAGTGGCTTCTGAACTGAGCTTTGATGAGCTAACAAGCCAAGCTCAAGCTAGCCCCAACTCGATTAGTTAGCTCGTAAGTCAACTCGTTTAAGAAAATATTAATATAAAATATACTAAAAATATATTAAAGTTGAAGACTTTATCTTTAAAGTATTAAAAATATTTAACAAAAATAATATTTTATATTTTATATTAAGTGATTTCCTATTATTCCTCTCTTAATTGCTCATTCAATTTTTCATTTATTATAAGAATACCTTAAATTTATATTATTTTCTCTCTTTAATAATAAACAAGTCAGCTCGAACTCCAAGACATAAGCTTGAGCACGAAATCAAACTCGATAAAATTAATCAAGCTCAAACTCAAACTCAAACTGAGGGTGGCTCGTGCTCGACTCGACTTGTTTATACTTCTATCCCCCTGTGAAGTTTCTCCTCTATATTCACCTCTACTTCCTCTTCCTCCACTTCCTTGGCGACTCCTTGCTCCGTGAATAAAGCAACTCGACTCGTGAAACTGCTAGAGGTTATCTGGTCATATTCGTGGCATCTAAAGCATCTCTTGGTAGGCATTGTACTGGGCGAGCTACCCTTTTATGGCTTTTTCCCACACAGATCTATCTTATCACTTCCTTGTCTTTCCAACTCCTCCAGAGGTACTCTTGTCAGTAATTATAGCTATAGGTGATTGCTTGAATGAGGATTGTTATCTGAATGAGGGTTATTGTCTGATCTGTTTCTATTATCTTTCCACCTTCAAAACCAAAGTCTGGACATCTCTCAATGACTAATAGAACAGGAGTTATACGACGTTGCTAGTAGCGGGTTTCAAAGAATGGTATATTTTTTAGGCTCAACCAACCTACACTTTATCTGTAACCAATCAAACTATGTGGTAAACTCCTCCATCGCTAGGTCTCTATACTAAAGGTGGTGAAGTCCCAAAAACATATCCTGACCGCAATGAGGCCGTAGGTATCATCTCTACATCTCCTTCTTCATTTTCTCCCATTAGATAACCTTCTCTCTTTCTCTGTCTGTAAATTTTCCCATTGCAAAGAAGTGCTCTTCAATTTAATGGCTGTAAGCTAATCTCCTGACACTCCATGTACTCAAAGACCCTCTCAACTGATCGTAGTCATTCGATAAAATCGCCGTGATCCACACCTCCAACGAACTCCGTTAGATTTATTTTGATACCAAAATCTCTGTCCTCCATATGTAGCACCATCTCTCGGCTCCTTCGATATTGAATTCCAAAGCACTAGGGCCTATCTTCCTCATCACTCAAGTCTTCCCTATGGAATAGATTCAGATCCACATCCCATTCTCCTCTTTGACCCAGATCATGATCGAGAGTAATTTCCCCCTGAGTTCCATCATCAATTTCAAAAAGCCTCTAATGAAGATGACAAATCTTTCCCTGTATCTCGTTCTGGGTAGGTTTCGGCATGTATCTCCATGGTGACATTATTAGGGTTTGAGGATTAGAAGAGGTGGTTGAGGGCATGAAAGAAAATTTTTTTATGGGGAGGGTGGTTTGGGTAAAAATGGTGCTAGAAAACCTAGGATAGAACTAGGATTAAGCTAGTTCTGATACCAATTGACATTGAAAATAGCCCAAAACACAATAAACTGCAGATATGATTGCAAAAATACAGGAAACTACAATAATGGGGTTCTCATAACAGAAATAACAATGGCAACAACACACTCAAACACCATAGGGGGAGGACAAAGGTGATGGGTGGCGGTTGGACAGTAGGTGGGTGCAGGTTGGGGGTTGTGGGTTCAACCAAGAGGCTTGGGAAGGGTGGAGACAACATGTGGAAGGTATGCAGAGAATAACGACAACAGCAGAAAGGGTGGAGATTAAAGGTGGAAGGTAGGAAAAGGATGACGGCAACAACGGGAAGGGTTGAAACAGCAAGTGAAAGGTAGGCAGAGATGGGCTGCGACAACAGGTTGGGCCATGGGAAGGCTTAACGACAGCAAGTGGTGAGGTGGGATGGATTACGGCCAGATGGAAGGAAGTAAAGGGGGTTTGTGGTTAGTAGGGAATGGGTAAGATCAGGTTTGGAGGAAGCAGGGAAGGGGCCAGAAGGTTTATTGCTACAGGTTTGAAGGTATAAGGATGGCTGCAGCAGGCGGGGGTATGGGCGTAGGTAGTGACTGCGACAAGATTAAGGGAGGTTTTAGTGGTAGGTTTGTGGGTAGATAATCACCACCTCGGAGCAGGATATAGTCATAGCACCACCTGTCCTCGGATATAGCCCTAGCTAGGGAGAAACGCCGATGGCAAGAAATCTGAAATTATGAATACCGAAACCCTAAATAGAGAACACGTTCAACACTCACGGCGTTTCAGCCCCCATGAACCTCATGCCAACATAGATTATACATACATATAGTCAACACTTTATGTAGCATACCATATAATTAGCACTCTAAATGATTGGGATAAGATTGATAATGATATACTTTGAAAGATGTATTTTGAAGATAAAAAATAACATAAAAATTTGAAGTAAAAAGAAAAGTTTAGTACCTCTTCAGCACAAAGAGCACGAAATTCTGCAGTCATTTCATTAGCTAAGTTGGACCAAGCAGCTTGCCTATGTACAGCAATACTTGCATTTTTTAGGAACTTTCTTCTCTCAAGTGCAATCCTTGCCTGTAATAAATAAAAGATGCAGATTAATTTTTAAATATAAGAATAAAAGGTAAATTAAAATTTTGATACAATAAAACTAAAAGAAGGGAGAAAAATAACACAGATATTTCATGCTTAGGATATGGAAAAGCAAAATAAAATCAAGATCCTGAAGCATTTTTTATATCTAGCATCGAAAAAATCTATTGAAGGGGGAGAAAAATATTTAAAATCAATTCACAAAGCTCGAGTCATGTCATAAAATGGATCAGGAAGCAATAAATACTGGATGTTAATGTTTTGAATACCTTGGTTACAGGAAGTAAAGCTGCAGCATGAAGATAAGATGCATCCGTTAGTGAAGCAGGAAGTGGATTAGAAGCTACATCAGCAGCAAATGTGCGACTATGAACCTCCCTCAATGCATGCACAGAAAGTTGCCATAAGAGCTCAACAAATCTGGTTTGCAGCAAACATAAAATGAGAGCTTACATGATCAACATCCTAAGAAAGATATCAGGAATGAGAATACACAAAATTAAGGACAGAAAAAAAATTAAAAAGAAAGCTGCATGGTAGATGAAAATAACTTTTGGTACAATTGAAATGAGAACTAAAGAAAATGATAATATAAAGGAAAAAATGTAGCACTAAAAAGATAAGTTAGAAATTGAAATCTAGAAATGATTCTAAGAGAATTACAAAGAAACATCAAATACAAAAATGGAAGGGACAACTGAAATATATGTTGTACGTTTTTATTAATATAAGGTATTGTAGGCTATGCCATGACAAAGGCTGAACAACCATGTTTTGTATCTTGGATTCAATTTTCCACAATAAGCTCAAACTATCTAATAATGTCCTACGTCAACCAACCTCTACCACCAAAATAAGCCCCTTAGCATGTTTACCACTCCCAATCCAGTAGGCATTGCTTTGAACGAAGAAACACGTGGCTATTGATAAGAAATAAAATGGTCACAAGGCTTCTTGATCATTTTGAAGAATGCCCAAGGGATAAATCTCAGAACAGCAAAAGCATGGGAACCTTAAACATTATCCACTCCCTCAATCCCTCCCCACTTATCAAAGCACAAATCAAAGAATAGGAATGAGGCTGACGGAAACTCATCTATGTAATGATAGTAAAGCTATGCAACCCTACAAACACCTTCATTTTAACTTTTTTTGTAACAATTTAAGCCTAACATATTACTTATAAAAATTTTTCCTCTATCAGAGGATTAATCAAACTGTGTAACAATTTAAGCCTAACATATTACTTATAAAATTTTTTCCTCTATCGGAGAATTAATCAAACAAAGGTAATTGCAGTCATAAAAAAAATCAACATCATAATAAAACCCAATCAATATCATCTTTATTCCAAGTATTTGAGCTTTGCATTTGTGAATCCTCACATAAAAAGCATTCATCTTCAGTGTTCTGTGTTTTGTCCAGTTAAATTTGTGCAAATCCTTTTCACAACATCTAAAATCAATTAAACAAATTGGTCATGCTTTAGCAGCATAAGTTATTGTTCATGTCATGAAAAAAGCTAAACAACCATACTCTGTAGCTTTGATTCTATTTACCAATACTAAAAAATTATTGGCATGTTCAAGCAATTTAATGATATCCTATATAAACCAAGCTCTAAAACCAGAATGACTTATCACTCCAGATCCATAAGGTATTGCTTCAAACAAGAAAGCACATGGCTCTTAATGAAAAAAGAATCAATCAAAGTTAAGGCTCCCATACCCACTTGAATAGATATTTACAATATAGATATCAGGTCAAAAAAAACATTGGATACTTATAGGGTTTAGCATCATTTCCTCCCTCCCCTCATCAAAGAATGAAGCAGAACATAGGAATGAGGATAATGGAAACTCATATATGTTATGATAGTAAACATATGCAGCTACGTTATTTTCTCTTTTTGTTCAACAATTAAAGCTTAACAACATCGTCAATTCAGAATTATCTCAAATTACAGAGTATTAATTAACCAAAGGTAAATGTAGTCATAAGACAACATAAGGACCCATCCATTGGATAAAAGCTATGGGAAGTAAAAATTCTACCTACAGAAGAACTAAAAATATCCTTCAATCAAAGCATCTATTGAGACCTTGAGATCTCATAAATAAAAGATAGTTCAAAAATGAACTCACTAACCATGACATAACTAGATTTGAAAGCAGGATTGATACCACAATCAAAGAGGACATTATACTGACTAACTCTTTTCCAACACCGGGCACACTACACAAATGGTGAATTTGAAGATGTGTGTCATAAAGGAAAGCATGCTTAAGATAATAATTGCATTAAGCACAGTAAGTTCGTCAAAAAGGATAAATCGCCTAAACTCTAGCTTGTGCTTCATCTTGACAAGAGTTCATAACATTGCATCCTCAAATATATCATCCACTGCCTAGCGATCACACACCGTTCGTTCTGTAATACTAGAGATTACATGCTTCACTCAAAAACGAGCTCTCAAAATTCCTTCAATGATCATAAAAAAGACGCCATATTGCTATTAATGAAGTGCCCCTTGTGGCTCCAGCTCACTTATTATACCTTGCACAATCTTTCCAGAAGCATAAGTACAAAGCAAAAATCAAACAGCGCCTGGGTACCCGTAAACCCTAACAATCATTAATTGAAAAAAACAGACTATATATACCTTACGAAAATCTCGGGACTGAGCAGAATCGTAAATGGGCCACACCTTATCGAAATCCTAGCACATGCCCAAATACCAAAACGGTGAGGAATCTCAGATCCAAGCCAAATGGAAGAAAAAGTAAAGGAATAGCGATCCGGGTGAGCGAAATTCTTGCCTTGGCAGATTGGACGGGCCCTCTTAAGGACGAGAGAAGAAAGTATAGAAGCTTTTCCCCCAATCTAGGGTTGGAATGCCGGAAATGGCCGACCCTGGGACTCCCTCCTGCCCCGCCCACGCCAATGATAGCCGGATCCAGGCCGAGTAGCAGGCAATTCGTGTACATAGCACTCTCCAGCTCTGCCTCTCTCTCCTTTTCACGGTCCGTCGCCATTTCTACCGAAGAGAAAACTGTTCGCTCCTCTCGCACTTCATACCAAACTCTACTTGTACCTCGGCAGAGCCTCTCTCTCTCCTCACTCCTCAGTGGAGTCTCTCTCTCGCTCGAATTTTTTTTTTTCTCGCAAACGAAGTTCAATGGGATGATATACTAAATTATAAAATTTTTTAAATATATATATATATATATATATATATGTATAGTTCAAGATTCAAAAAAGTTGAAGTTCAATCAGATCACATATTAAATTATAAAATTTTTTAGAGATGAAAAAATGGTGTAATTAAAAAAATTGATTATGAAATATTAAATAAATCTCAATATTTAAATAACTAACATCATAAAAAAATTTGCATGTTACTTTAAAAGTTAATAACACTTAATTTAAAAAAATTTAAATATAAATATAAGAATCACACTGTAATAATTTAAAAAAATTAGAGGGATTTACATAATTGCCACTCATCTCTCAGGCACTTATACATCTCGCACATATTCTTTGTTTTTTTACATTGATATCATCATCGCTTAGGCACTTATACATCTCGCACATATTCTTTGTTTTTTACATTAATATCATCAAATCACATCAAAAGTTTCACTTTTTAAATTTTTAAAAATTGAAATTTATCTTATTGGTAGTTTGTAAAAATTAACGTTTAGGTGTTAGATACATGAATAGAAACTAATAGAGTGGTAGCATGTAAATTTTTAAAATTTATTATGATTATAAATTAAATGTTGTAACTTATTATTAAGTTTAATATAGAATTAATATATACATACATACATACATATTTATAAATTAAATGTTGTTACTTATTTTGTGAAAAGCCTAAATCTATTAAAATAGGAAAGATGCATAACTGTTGTATGAGAGGGCCCAATAGAGGCATTCTACCCATAAGATACAACACACACAAACACCCCAAAAGAAAAATGATACAGGGAAACCCAAAAAAAAGGAAAGATACCAAAATCGCAGAAAAGAAGTAGACGAGCCAGTTTAGTTCTGCCTCTACCTCTAGTTCTAGGGCGAGATCCAGATAATAAATTGTTGAGTGTCGAGCCATTTCCCGAAGTAACCAAAGTATCATCCATTAGGTTCCCAAGCTGAAGCTTGCCTCCAATCTTCTTCTTCCTCCTTGAATAGACCTGTCATTCCTCCTCATAAGACTGACTCATCTGATCATCGTGTTGGTAAACAGAACGTCAGACAGATAAAAACTAATGAGCACCAGAAGAAGGATTGTCAACTGTTGCAACGACTGTAGGTTCAAGTGTGTGTGAAGCATGAAATGTCTCCTCTTCACCTAGTGCTTCCTCCAACTAAGGAGGGTTTGAAAGTGTACGTTGCTCACCAGGGCCATCCAGCTTCTCATCGATCACAGAAATAGTATTTTCAGGGGGAGGATCCACAGGGGCGATTAAATCAGACACCATAACATGTTTTGTGGTAGTTTTCTCTTCAGATGGAACATATATTTCCAAAGTAGTGGGGTCATATCCATTCTTATTAACTTGTTCTTTAGATTTCAAATTAGGGTGAAGCTTATAACATTTATCAAGGTTGTGCCCAAATATCATACAATAAGAACAATAAGGAGTTTTATGCTCCATAACAATTTGTTGTCAATATCCATTGTGAGTTGTGCTCAACCAGACTTCAGTAACATCAGGTAAAGTAATATCTCTTTTAACAAGTATTTTGGTCACAGAAGGTTAGTTAGGTTAAAAGAGGGTAGATTTAGGGTCCGTTTGGGGCCGCTTTTTTGCGGCTTTGCGGCCCCGAATTTGCAAAAAATAGGTGTTTGGCTCGCAACGTCGAGGCACAACAAAGTTAAAGCGGGAAGCGATATTCACCCCGCGGTAGAGCTTCTATGTCGCTAAAAGGATCGTTTTGCCTTGCCAAGAACCCTCGTTTCTCCCTCCTTGTTGTGTGAGTTCTTCTTCCTCGAGCCCTTTCTTCTTCCCGCCCTCCTTTTGCCCTGCCAAAAACCCCGTGCCCTCGCTGTCTCACTCGTTTGCCCTTCCTGCATTGCTCCTCCGGCCATTGCTCCTCCGCCCCATTCCTCCGTCGCTCCTCCGCCGAAAGTCAGGCGAGAACCTCAAGACCCACAGCTGAAGCGGAGGAGAATCAGGCTAGCAGGTATTCATTTCTTCGACTGTTGAAATGCTAGGGTTTTTACCCTCTGTAAGAAATTTTGTGCAGCTCTATAATATCACTTTCTACCGTCTTACACCGAATTATAGAGCCTTATATTGTCAAAAATTTCTGTATTTTTTCTTATTTGTAAGCATCTATAGTTGGAAATTTCTACATCGTTTCACTAGTTCTGTTTCTTATGTCATGATTTAAGGCATGAAAGATTACAAATGTATCATTGGGTCTCTTGTTTCCTTGTATTTGCCTGCGGTACTTGCCCTGAGATTTGGACAACAAGTGTACATGATCATTTTGCCTTACGTAATGTTGTTGTTTTTCTGGATTTACAGTGATAGTCCTTGGCCAAATGGCAAATACATGCCTTGAATCTTGATTGTGGTTATTTCATTTATTATCATTATTATTATTTTTTTAAGTCGTGATCCTATTATGGTTTGCTAGGTTAAGGTAGGATATTTTTTAGTGTCCTCGGCGCTTGACCTTATGCTCTTTATTATGATTAATTTGTTGTGAATTTTAATATTTAAAATAGAATAATGGAGATATGTGGGTGTTAGTTCTATAAATGGTTTTGTTCCGAGTGTTGTGTATGAATTTTAATATTTAAGTTAGAATGTTGTTCGGTTTGATGTTTGAACATTTCTCGATTTGGTATGTTTGGTTTGAATTCTGATATATAGCAGAGTATTGGATTTATTTTAATAACTCGTCAAAAGATGTGTTTGGCTTGTTGAAGTTAGTTTGAAGAAAGAGTTTGGTGGCTCTTCTCTTTTCTCTCATAATTTTAATTTGTTATTGAAGATTTCTTAAAAAAATTAAGAATGAAAGAATAAAATTGTTCTAAAAGTGTTGTGGAATTTATATTTTCACTTGTGTCATAATTTATTTCTTTTTAAGCACATAGAAATTTATTGTTTGATTTTGAATTATATTGTCAGCACAACCTTGCTTGAATTTGCTAGTTTATTTCTAAAATATGTTTTTCGGGCACCGCAGTTATGATGTGGATGCTGTATATTTACCTGTCATATGCCATTTGTTATTTTTTAACTTATTTCACGTTTCTTTTGCGAGACCAGCCAGCGGACAATATTGCTCGATCATGATTGCTCATTTGATGTTTTTTATAGTTTAGAAATATCATGCATCCATATCTAAGACACTCTTTTTTGTGGGTCCTTAGAGATCTGCCCACTTTTCCATGTAATGGCGATAGAGCAGCTTGAATAGCTTATGTATTTGAGGTTAACCAATACTTTTATGAGCCACTGGCTGAATATTTAGGGTTTAGGGTTTAGGGGCCTTAGAGATCTGCCCACTTTTCCAAGTAACAGCGATAGAGCAGCTTGGATGACTTATGGATTTGAGGGTAACCAATACTTTTATGAGCCACTGGCTGAATATTTAGGGTTTAGGGTTTAGGGGCCTTAGAGATCTGCCCACTTTTCCAAGTAACAGCGATAGAGCAGCTTGGATGACTTATGGATTTGAGGGTAACCAATACTTTTATGAGCCACTGGCTGAGTATTTAGGGAATTTCTTCAAACCAATCTTTTCTACTCTCGTTGACCTCACACCTCACTTTAATTGATTTGAATTCTTCCATTGCTTGATTTCTTGAGATGGTTTTTTTTATTTGGATGTTGTATGATTCTGTTTTCTTCTGCATTCTTATCCATTTTACTATTAAATCATAGACTTATTAAATCCTGTCATTTAACATATACAGTTGCACCATCACTCGATCAAAGGTAAATTGTCATGTTCTCCTTCACAATTTACTGAAGTCTATATTGTTAGTACCAAAAAGAAAAAAAAAGTTAATTATTTTTTTTCCAGTTAAAACCGATGTATGTTCAAGGTTGCTAGTTTTAATTGAGTCGTGATCTATTTATATGTTGAATTAATTTACAAATTTGTGATCTGTTCATATTTAACACTAATTGTATGTATTTACATACTTGCAAATCTAATATTTTCACTTTTTAGTTCACTATTTATATTCATTAATATTTTTCATATTTTTTTTATAGTAATAACATGGACAGTAAGCCTAAAGAGGTTTCTACACCTACATTGTGGGAAAAAGATATGAAAATAATATTTTGTGATCTTTGTATTAAAGAGATTGAATAGGAAAATATACCAACAACCCATTTCAATAAAGAAGGGTGGCAAAATATTATAAAAAATTTCAAAGAATGTACAGACAGGGAATATGACAGGTTGCAAAGGAAGAACAAGTGGGACCAAATGAAGAAGGAATGGAAAATTTGGAAGGAATTGAAAAGGGGTTTTATCGGTAATGGTTGGGATCTAGTGAAGCGAACATTTGATGCACCTGAGGAATGGTGAGCTAAAGACTTGTGGAAAGCTTTGTTTGTAAACTTCTTTATTTTGTAATTTTCTATTTTGTTCTACTTGGGTGTCTATCAATTTCTGTGTAGGTAATGCCTGCTGCAAAAAAGTTTAAGCTTTCTGGAATTGAGCCTGAATTGGAGGAGAAACTAGACCGCATATTTGGAGGAGTGGTTGCAACAGGGAACTATGCATGTAGCCCAAGTGAGACAAGATTCACTGGAAATGCCGTGAATTTGGGAACCCCTAGAGGTTCAGTTGATTTCATTGACGTCCCCAGCCCAGAGTAGAATGAATATGAAACTATTTCCCGTTCCAAAGGTCCGAGGGTTGTTGATAAAAGAAAATCTGGTGCTTCTTCCTTTAGAAACGAGCTATCTGAGGTAGTTTCATGTTTCAAAGCAGAATGTTAGGCTTCTCATTCAAGCACAATCACGGAGGCACTTGAAATCCTAAGTGCTACAGCTGAAATTTATGCGGATGAAGAGTTGTATCTTTTTGCAACAGAATTGCTAGAGGACCCGGTCCATAGGGATTTCTTTGTGCAGATGCCTGTCACCCGCAGAGTGTCATATAT